AGCTGATGCAATAATAATAGGAACAAAGTGCACAGTAAATGTAATGAGCTTGAATCATCCCGAAAACCATCTCCCCTCACTGATCCATGGAAAAATTGCCTTCCGTGAAACTGGCCTCTGGTGCCAAAAAGGTTGGGGATCACTGCTTTTCAGTATATCCTTGTTACTTATCTATTTTATATACAGTAGTTTGTGTCTGTTAAACCCAACCTCTAATTTGTCACTTCCCTTTCCCTCTGCCCTCTGGTAACTCCAAGTTTGTGCTCTATATCTGTGAGTATATTTTGTTTTGTATGTAGATTCATTTGTATTATTTAGATTGCAGATATCAGTGATATCACATATTTGTCCTTCTCTGTCTGACATTTTACTAAGCATAATATTCTCTAGGTCCATCCACATTGTTGCAAATGGCAATATTTCATTCTTTTTACAGCTGAGTAATATTCGTTTTGTGTGTGTGTGTGTGTGTATATATATATATATATACACCTTCTTAATCTAATCTTCTGTTGATGGGCACTTGTGTTGTTTTCATGTCTTGGCTATTGTAAATAGTGCTGCTATTGAACATTAGGGTGCATATGTTTTTTCAAGTTACTGGTTTTTCTGGATATATACCCAGGAGTGGAATTGCTAGATCATATGGTAGTTCTATTTTCAGTTTTTTAAGGAACTTCCACACTGTTTTCCTCAGAGGCTGCCTCATTTTATACTGCCACCAAGAGTAGATGAGGCTTCCCTTTTCTCCACCTGCGATGTCCTCCTTTTATGGAAGCATGAAGAGCACAGGATTTGGGGATGTAACCCCACATCTCCCTCACGGTATTTTAGGATCTCCCAGGAAAGTAGAATTTTGCTTTTTCATGCAGCATAACAATACATGTCCCAGATCTCTTGCACTATGAGACCTTCACACTATGAGACCTCCCTCCACAGGGAATTTGTGAGAATCAGATGGAATTGGGGATATTCCAAACCTTCAAAAGGGTCAGCCTTAGTCGCCTGTCTCCTCCAGGCTCGGGGCACCAGGGCAGCAGCCGCCCTGGGCCCAGCGACCTGAAGTCAGGTAGAACAGGAGGACTGCTTCTGGTCCCTGTCCGGTCTCTGCTTGCTGAGCCATCATTCCCTTCCGCTTCTTGGACCATGCCTACCATTTTACACCAGTTCATTTGAAATAAATATTATATAGATTATATATTTTTTATTGATATATAGCTACATGCCATAAAATCCACAGTTTTAAATGTACAATACAAAGGATTTTAGCATAGTCACAAAGTTGTATATCTGTCACCGCTTTCTAATTCTAAAACATTTTCATCAATCCCATGCCCACTAGCAGTCATTCCCTACTCCTCCTTCCCCCAGCCCTTGGCAACCACCAATCTGCTTTCTGTCTCTATGGGTTTGCCTGTTCTGGACACTTCATACAAATGGAATCACAGTATGTGTCTTTTGGTGTCTGGCTTCTTTCATTTAGCATAATACTGTCAAGGTTCATCCATGTTGTTGCATTTATTAATACTTCATTCCTTTTTCTGATTAAATGGTATTCCACCAAATGTATAAACCACACTTTTTGTCCATTCATCCTTCGATGGACATTTGATTTGGGTCATTTCCTGCTTCTGGCTGTTGTGAACAGTGCTGCTATGGACATTCCTATGTGAGTTTTTGTTTGAACGTCTATCTTCTATTCTTTGGGGTAAATACCCACCAGTGGAATTGCTAGGTCATTTGGTAATTCAATGTTTTACTTGAAGAACTGCCAGCCTATTTTCCACAGCAGCTGTACCATATTGTTTTACATGCCCACCAGCAACACACACAAGGGTTCCAATTTCTCTGCATCCTCACCCCTGTTTATTATTATCTGTGTTTTTGATTATAGCCATCCTAGTGGATATGAAGGAGTATCTCATCACGGAAAATATACATTGCATAGATGTTTAACCTGCAAAACCCAAAAAGGTCGTCTTACTTTGGACCTTCCATAGGTAGAACAGATACAAGAGGAGACTTTAGGTGAAATGGGGAAGGAGGCCTGAGCCCACAGCCCCTTGCAGTCCCAGGGGTAAGTTCTCTGGGTCGTTTGAAGACCACTGGGCTCCATGCCCTCCCAGCTCTGAGATCTGAGTGTAACCACCGGAGACTACCCAGCATCACAGACGCCTCCGCCCTCACTCCCATCCTGCTTGCCGTGAGAGCCTTCGCAGCGCGTGGCCAAGCTGTGGGTCTGCCCTGTGCTGTGCTGGGGTCGCCACAGTGAGGAGGGGTCCAGTGGCTGCATCCGTGGCTCCAGCTCTGCGGGCAGCCTGTGTAAGAAACAAGGAGCAAGCTGGAGACGTGCTGCCCCTGCCTCCCGTTCCATGTCCAGGAGGGAAGGCCCTGGCTTTTGCTGACAGTGTGGAGAAGCATAGTGGGGGATGAGGTTTTGAAGCCAGAGGAAGTATACCAAACCCCTCAGCCATGAGCAGTGCTCAGAGCACTAACCTGGAGACCCAGAGAGGGTGGCTGGAACACTCTCAGGCCCGTCTTCCACCTGCCACTCCTCTCTGCATTAGCATTCTAGGGGCACCAGGCGCTCTGCAGCTTGACAGGTGGAATGTTCTGCCTTCTGGTGTAGTCTTGGCAAAGAGAGGATTTCGCCCAAGCTCTGGTCTGTAGGTTGTGTTGCTTTGCTTTCCACAGCTGTGAGAGGCTTGAGTCATCAGACACAGATTGTTCTGTTCCCTTGGATTTTTGGATAGCTTTCTTCTTTTATTGATGGCTAATTCTTTGGGGGCGGGGGAGGATAATTTATGGTACATACAGGGACTTTCACTTAGCTAGCATATTAGATTAACTCAAGAGCCTGGTTTCTCCCCCATGACTCACTGATTGAGTAAAATTCCATCATGTCTCACTTTGAAGAAGGCAGCTTCCTAATTTTACAGATGGAGAAACTGAAACCCAGGGGTTCTAGTCATTGAAAGGGAAGAAAGCATCAATTAGAACTCTATTATTTCATTCACAGCCCTAGAATCAAAGAATGTTGGATCCAGAACTGTCTTAGAGACCATCTAATCCGACCGCTTGGTCTATCATACGTGTCTGTTTAATCCATTGTGTTACTAACAGGTGTGTGTTGATTGTGTTTATTTTTATGAAGTTCCTCAGAGGGTGGTGTTCCCTGAGTTTCAACCTAAGTCATGGCATGCTAAGTGGTCAAGAGAGTAAGTGACTGGTGAAGTCGCAGAAGGAAAGGCCTGCAGGGCAGACCCTAACAAAGCGCAATGTATGCATGAGGACAAGGCCGGGCAAGAGCTGTCAGCTGGGCAAACAGCCTTTGCAGACATGGGAGCAACAAACAGGGCTTTCCTTGGGGGTCAGCAAGCAGCTGAGAGCTGGTTGGAATGGGTAGAGATGAGAAGGCCTTGAATGCCATGGTCAAGAGTTTTGCCCTAGGCTCTTCTCCCCTTCTGAGGTGGCCCATACTCTATCTATGGAGTGTGTTTCTCTCTAAATAAATCCAATTCTTACCTAAAAAGAAAAAAAAAAGATGAGTTACACCCTACGTTTTACTTAATTTAAGGCCTCTGATAAATTTCTAGGAGACCCCATGCCCTTTTCTCCATTGTTCCTGGGCTGCCCTGCATTCATTCGCTCTAAATCATGTCCAGCTCTTTGGGACCCTATAGACTATAACCCACCAGGCTCCTCTGTCCATGGGTTATACTGGACAAGAATAATGGCAGCAAGAATACTGGAGTGGGTTACCATGCCCTCCTCCAGGGGCTCTTCCCAACCCAGAAATTGAATCCACATCTCCGATGTCTCCTGCTTTGACAGACAGGTTCTTTACCACTAGCGCCACCTGGGAAGCCCATGCCCTGATCCAGTCCCTTCTAATTTTTTGATAACCTCCTAACTGGTCTCTCTTCCTTTCCAGCTATGGTCCACAAAGATCCCCTATGCAGGGCTTTCTAAAATGCAAATCTGATCATGTCCATCCCCATTTTAAGGTGCTTCCATGGCTCCCTGTTGCCCACAGGACAAGATTCTGGCTTTTGTGGCACTGTGTGGTCTGGCCCCATCTCCTTCTGCAGCCTCATTCCCACTGTGCCCCTGCCTCCACTAGGCCCCCTAGTTTCCCCAAGCAGCCACGCCATTCTATTGAACTACTCACTGCCTTTGCCCAGGCTTCTCCATCCCTCCCGTGCACTTTTTCTGCCTGGTGAACTCCTGTTAATCCCTTAAGGCCCAGTGTAAATTTCCTTTTGAAGACGCTTTCCCTGACCTTCCTGAAGCCACTATTATGCCTTGAATGTTTCTCTCTCAAAGCTCACATTGCACTGCAGTTACCTACTACCCAAATCCTGGCACTTCCCATTTTTGTGTGTTCATTGTATGGTGGGCATTGGGCTAAGCCCTGTGCCTGAATTATCCCATCTCATCCTCACAGTAACCATATGAGGAGCTTTCTGTTATACCTACAGATGATGAAGCTGAGGCTCAGAGAAGTGGCATGGTTTGCCCAAGGCAGCCAGCTAGAGGGTGACATAGCTGGGATTTGAGCCCAGATCTCTTAAACTATTTCTAACTCTTTCCATCTCCCAAGCTCCCATTGTTGGGTGTGTGAGGGACTGATGAAAGGGGTGGATCCAACAGGGTTGCCAAGGTGTGGGCAGTATGGGGAAATGGGGCTGGGCTTACCCTGGGGTGGAGGTGATGGGCCACTGTCAGCCCAGCTCCCCACGATTAGGGGTTTCCTTTCCACCTTCCATTCCAATGGCCACCTGGGGATAGGCTTGCGGGACTCCAGGCCAAGCAGTTGGCATGGCAACAAACGCCATGGCAACTTACCTCCTCTCTGGGGCTCAGAAGGGAGGGAGGACCTGAGAGAGCACAGGTGCTCACCAACACTTCTGGGCTGGATCCTAGAGAGGTGACTCCCTTTGGGCCTGGGTATCTTCTGCCCTCCCAGAGGGACTCCAGCCTGCAAGGTCTCATCCCAGCAGGGGAAATGCCACTTCCACCTCTGTCCCGGATGAATGGCTGTCTTTGGCCTCCCAGGAGACTCTCGGCTCCATCCAGGTACAAATGCCATCCCCTTGCCCCGCCCTTCCCCAGGCCAGAGAGGAAGGAAGAGGGAGCAAGAGAGGAGGGAGGTGTGGGATTGGTTGCCAAGCAAGGTAGGAATGGGGACAAAGCCCTCATTGTACAAGGCCACACGCAACTCCAAGGCAAAGCAAGCCTGGTGCCTGCCTCCCAAGACTGGAGCCTAGAGCTCCACCCAGGCTTTGCGAGCTCCTTAGCAACACTCACCAGAGCTAGCTTGGAAGAGTGAGGCCTGGCCTCAGCTCTGAGTCCTGCCTCTGCTGAAGGTCCTCCTGAAGGCACAGCATCCTCCCAAAAGCCAGAAGTGATGATGGGAGGATGGCCGGTAAAGCCAGGCTGACTGGGGCTAGAGGCCAGGGTCTATTGGACGTGCAGCTGTGTGACCTGGAACCCAAATGTGATAACAGATCCTGCCTCGAAGGATTTTTATTTGGAATTATGGGCCAAGGCACATAATAGCACTCAGCATGGTCACCTGGTAGCAGGCAGAAGAGTTGCGTCAATGACATATGATCAAGGGTGAGATGAATTGGAGCATAGCATTGACATATATACATTCCTATAAGATAGCTAGTGGGAAGCTGCTGTGTAGCCCAAGGAGCTCAGCTCCATGCTCTGTGACAACCTAGAGGGGTAGAATGAGGGGTGGGGGATGGGAGGGAGGCTCAAAAGGGAGGGGATATATATGTGCATATAGCTGATTCACTTTGCTATATGGCAAAAACCAACCCAATATTGTAAAGCCATTATCCTCCAATTAAAAAAAAAAGACAGGTGATCCTTGAAGCCCTTGTCTACCCATGAGTAAGGACAATCAGCCCCTCCCCCATGCTCCTGGTTGAGGCCCCCCTGTGCCTAGGAGGTATTAAGACATTGGTGGCCTTCCTGGCAAGTATGGAGGAGCACCCCTGTCCCCCAGCCCCTGTCCCACGGTTCCTCCTCCGAGGGCCAGCCCTGCAGTTCCAGGAGGCCCTGCCTGGGTGGTTGGGGCGTGGCGGGTGGGATGCATTGCCAAGCCAGGTCGAGCAGCTCAGATAACACGTAGGGTGCCGGCGGCTCCCGTACCTGGCACCTGACACCTCTGGGCAGACAATGCTGGCTGTGTCCATGCCCTCTAGGGAACAGACCATGTCTGTGTCCCAGCCAGGAAACAGGCCACCTGAGCAGCACCTTTGTCTGCTTAGGAGGCAGCCTCGCCACTAGCCAGGGCGGCCGGGATCCTCAGAGGCCCTGATGTGGGAAGGGGTGGTGCCCTGGGCAGGGGATCCGGGCTCCGTGATCCAGCCCCTCAGCATCTGGTGTTGGCCTGGCTGAGGTGTTGGTCCTGCCACACTGGGGCAGGGACTCGGGCAGTCCCTTCCCTCTCAGATCCCTCATCTGAAAAGGGACTAATCACAGCACTTCCTCATAGGGTTGTTGGGAGGAGTCGATGGCGTAATGTACGTAAGGTGGTTGGCACGGGGTTTTGGCGTGGAGTAGGGCTTGGCAACCGCTTCTTTCCCAGCATGAAGGAAGGTCCAGTGCACGGTGTCCTTGGCCAAGTCCTGCAACCCAGGCGACTGTCCTTAGTGCCTGCTCTCAGTGTGTAAGGAGGGGACTAGGGTCTCTGGAGCTGGCACAGAACTAGCATGTTGGCTGCAAAGAGTCCAGGCCCACCCCCTGCCCTGGCCTTCAGGAGCTCTGGGCTAAAGCCCAGCACAGGCCTCCTCCCACAACAGCCAACACCAGCCCGGCATGGGGCCTCTCCCTCCCTTAAAACGTCTGTAAAGCTGCCCTCGGAACCCAAGCTCCTACCCAGGAAAGGGCTTTAGGGATCCCCGGGCAGGAGCCCAGGTCTGAGTCTCCCTACCCACTTGTCAAGAGGGCCAAGGATGGATCTCTGCAGGCATGGTCACTTCCTACTGGGTCCAGCCTACAGTGATGCTCTGAATGGTTCGGGGGGGGTGTCTTCTTCTCCCATCTGTCTCCTTCCTCATTTGCTTTGAGCCTGTGCCCTGAGTTCCTCATGCATCCCAAAATGAGCATGTGCATTTGCATGGACGGGCATAGGCATGCCTGTGTGTAGCATGTGGGCAGTGGGGGCGGGGCGGGGCGGGCAAGGGCTGCATGTCCTCCATTGTGGACAGGCCCCCTGAGCATGTTCCCTGAGCCCTGTGCAGCACGCCTTGGAATGGCAGGGATGCGGTACCTTTTCATGTTCATGTGTATCCATATGTCTTTCTACACGTGTGCTGGTGTGTTGGTCTGTCTTGTCTCCCCTATAGACGGGAAGCCCTGAGCCTCGCACCAACAGGCCCTCTGGGAAGGTGACGTCGAGACTAGCCCAGTCTAATCTGGGCTTCCTGGTGATGCTCCAGGAGTCCTCCAGCCTGCAGTCCCCTCCAAGGAGGAGGGTGGATTGACCAGCACAGGGGTGGGGGGGTCTGAGAGTCAGGGGTCTGGGGGCCCTGGCTCACAGCCGGACTCAGTGCTGAGCTGAGCCAATCAGGAGGCCCTGCCCGTGTCCGTGTGACCTGGGGGGAGGCCTTTGCTCTTCTGGGGCACCATCCACTCATCTGAGGACACAGGGCTGGACTGATGATTTCTGGCTATCTTGAGTCTCTGACGATCATGATTTTAAGTTGGGTGGTGGGACCCTGCTAAATTCACTGGTGGAGGCAGTTGTGGGCAGAACCTGGCCTGCCAGCCCCCCGCCTGGTCCCAGGTATCCTGCTGAAGGGTGAGAGGAGAAGCCATGCCGGGCAGTGGCCCCAGCGAGAGGATGACGTGGCCGGGCCCGGCCCTCCCCACGGCCCCCCCAACCCGCCCTCTCTCCTCAGCCCCGGGGACACCGCCCATCCCGCCCCTCACCCGGACCCGCAGCCTCATGGCCATGTCCCTGCCAGGCAGTAGACGGGCCTCTGGTGGATCCCGCAGGTGAGTCTCCCCCTTGCCCAGAGCCTTGGCCTCTGAAAGTGGGGGGAGGGGGTCTCTGCCTCCACTCCACCATCTACTTGTCTTGGAGCAAGTCATTGCCCTCACTTTTCCCGTCTTTAAAATGAACTTGCTGACGCTTGCCTCAGGAACTATTTAAGGGCTCAGATGACACCGTGGATAGAAAAGTTCTCTGAACTTAAGCCATTGGATCCCTCCCATCATTAATATTGTTGTTCCATCCTCACAAAGACATCATGTAGCCTTCCACCCAGGCTCACCTGGCCTCCCCGTATGCCCCTCCTCCTGCCCCTATGCCTGCCTGCCTGTTCCTCCCCACCTCCGTCTCAGTTTATGCAGGGCCCTTTCCTTCTGGGCTTGGGGGACCCTGGACATTGAGGACCCTCGGTAGGGGCAGCTGGGCCCCACCCTTGGCCCATAGCCCTGCTCAGCTTCCGCCTCTGCCCTGGGGAGCCAGGAGGACCTGCCTCCTCCTGGTTTTCCATCTTGATTTGCACTGTCTGTTCTGTCACCCCTGTCTGTTTTCTCCCCCCAACCCTCCCCTCTCCTTCTCTCCCCGGCGGTGACCCCAAAGTGGGGGCCCTCTGGGCCGCAGCGGCCTGGCGGTGTTCGCCCAGTGTCCGCAGCTGCCCACCAGCCAGAACGAGCACCTGCCTCTTCTCCCTGCCCCCAGGCGCACCTCTCCGCCCGTGAGTGTGCGGGATGCCTACGGCACCTCTTCTCTCAGTAGCAGCAGCAACTCGGGCTCCTGCAAGGGCAGTGACAGCAGCCCCACGCCCAGGTAACCGGCCCCTCCCTCCTGCCTCCCAGCCTGAGGGGAACCTGAACGCCTTGCGGCCTGGGGGGTGTGGGTGTTCTAACCATCCCCAACTCGAGCACACTCCCTGGCTGTGTGACCTTGAGCAGGTCTCTTCTCTCTGAGCCTCAGTTTCCCATCTGTAACATGAATATGATCATACCCAGCTGCACGTAACCAAAGACATTGGCTGAGACAAACTAGGGGTGATGTTTTCAGAACAAGGGGCCAGAGGTGGGCGACTCCCTAAAGTGTCGAGGACCCCACCTCCACCATCCTTGGTGTACAGCTGGCTCTGACACCTTCAGGCATCAGGTCCACGTTCAGGAAGAAGCAGGCAGAAGGCCAACCCTCCTGCCCCCCTACGCCAGGCTCATATTTTCTGAGACAGGACATGTTCCCCAGTAAGTTTTGTCTACACTGTGCTGGTGGGTGCAGGTGTGACTGACTGGCTGCAGGGCCACCCAAGCAAAATGGGAGTTCTGTCAGGGAAAAGGCAGGAAGCTGTGAGTTGAGGAGGTCAGGCCATGGTCTGCTGGTGGGATTGGGGTGCTCTCTGCCCCTGGGTGAAAGCCTTGGCCCTCCCGCCTCCTCTAGGTGGGAATTCCTTCTCCTTGGCACTGGTGGGACCTGGGTGTGCTCACCACACACATACGTCTGCACCACCCCATGCAGGGGAATGTGGCTTCTGGGAGTGGTGCATATCCAGCCTGCCTCCACCTCAGGGTACAGCTATGAACAGGTTGATGCTCACAGCACATCTGGGCTCGCATGTGCCTCTAGAGCATGAGTGGGCATGTGCAGATGGGAAGGATCCACCTGCATTTGTGGGAACGTGTTCATGAGCTGGTGTCATAGAATAGATGACCCTGCTCCAACAAGGGGGTTGGGGCACTGACTCCTTGTGCAGTTGAAAATCCACATATAACATTTGGCCACCCCAAAACATAACTGCCTACTGTTGAGCAGAAGCCTTTATGACATAATCAGTTGACTGGCACATATTTGGTGTGTTATATGTACTATCAACAATATGCTTACAATACAGTAAACTAGAGAAAACAAAATGTTAAGAAAATTATAAGCACAAGAAAATATGTTTACAGCGCTGTATTTATTGACACGTTATGTTTACATTGTTTCTAAGATGAGTCATCTGTCAGTACATCAATATTGTCTTATATGACACAAAGCGCTGTAGGGATTATATGTATCACTAAGACTAGACATCAAAAATGAAAAGATAATGTGAAAAAGAAATTCACATTTACTTACAGGTATAATGATGCATGTATTGATAACAATACACATTGACAACAAAGAAGCAGCAATATGATTGCTTCACGGTAGCCCAGCCTATCTAATGAATGAATCATTATCAAAATTTTATGGCATACAGTATTACAGTCATATTCATAATATAGTATGAGAAACGTTGTTACATTTTTCTAAAAACCACTTACAGTGATGACAGGCTGATATGCAGTTTCTCCAATTACAAGAGAAAGGCATACTGTAGGGTAATGTGATCCTCTGAAAGCACAGTTGTAGAACAGTAAGAAAACTTACACACTATTAATTTTATATTTACTATCAACCACCTTATGCCAGGGAAAGGACAGGCTACCACTTCGGTACCTGCCTTACACAGAATGAACGCTTAGGCGATGGTGATGATGACAACACAGAGCCAGCTCAGATCGTTCTTGCAGTACAGTTATTAGATTTCCACACCGAGTCACTCACATATACAACAGATAAGTCCTTGACCCACCAGGCAGGCCCCGGGATAATTACATGGAGAGGGAGGCTTCTCCCTGCCTCAGCCTCATTCTCTGGGATGGCAGACTGAGCCCTGGGTGGCAGTGCTGCGATTGGGTTGACAGAGATGGCATTGCCCTGGGTGGTACCAGGCTTGTCCACACGCTCTGTGACGTATCTCCCCACCCCGAGCTACAGGAGCCCTGACATCCCCACCTCGACGCTATGCTCTTCCCTCAGAAGAACCTTAATAAAACCCACCTTCCAGAAAGACTGGGTGTTCTCGTGCCCACAGGGGCACAGGGGAAGGCCTGGCCTGCAAGGCGCTGGAGGAGGGGAGGGGTACCGGGCACCAGGATGGGTGGACGGGGCTCCAGGGTGAGTGGGCGGGGGCACCGGGGTGAGTGGGCGGGGCACAGGGATGGGCAGGCGGGGCTCCCTCGCTCCTGGAGGCACAGCACATCGCCGGCCCTTCCCCCCTCCCCGCTGACGAGCGCCCCCTGGCAGGCGCTCCATGAAGTACACGCTGTGCAGTGACAACCATGGCATCAAGCCCCCCACCCCGGAGCAGTACTTGACGCCCCTGCAGCAGAAGGAGGTGTGCATCCGGCACCTGAAGGCCCGGCTTAAGGACACGCAGGACCGGCTCCAGGACCGGTGAGCGGAAGGCCAGGGCCCGCGGCATCTCTGGAAGGAAGGAGTGTCTGGGGGCTCCTTTCTCCCGCAAAACCCCATCCGTCCCTTCCCTCCCTCAGCTGCTCCTAGAAGCTTCAGGTGGCTGCTTAGGGCCAAGCCGAAAGCGGTTTCCCCGGCCTCCCCGCCTCCCCTCTCACTCCAAGGCAGTGCTCTCTCTGTCGGAGCCTGGCAGCCCCTTTTGGCCACTTCTCGTGCCCTGGCTCCTTTCTACCTGGGGAGTAGGAGCCCAGGGCATTCTTCCTGGCTGAACTGCCCCTGGGGTCGGGGGGCGGGGTGGGGGAGAAACAACCTGTTAACCCTCCTTGGCCTCCTCCCAGGGGGTCACCAGGGGCTCCTGACCCATTGTTCAGGCCCAGGTGCCTTCTTCCTCATCCATTGTGAGAAACCTTTCTCTGAGTGCCCACCCAGCCCAGGGGTCTCCCAGGAGACCCCATGAGCCTCTCTGAGCTCATTCTCCAGACCTGAGGGCCCAGTCCTGACCCTCCCAGCCTTCACCTTTCCAGGCAGACAGCTTCATCTTTCTGATGGAAGCTGCAGGGCTGCCCTCTGACCTCTGCATCATCTACCCATCTGTGGATTCAGATACACAGCTAACTGTGAGCTGGACAAGGTGCCGGGCAGGGCACTGGGGGTCAGGGCACTATGACTATGCCTTCCTCCATCTTTTCTTTTTTAATATAACAATTTTATTGAGATATAATTCACATACTATACAATTCACTTATCTAAAGTAAACAATTCAGTGGTTTTTTAGTATATTCACAGAATGGTGCAACCATCAAGAGTATCTAATTCTAGAATGTTTTCATCACTCCAGACCGAAACCCTGTTCCCAGTAGCAATCATGCTCCCATTTCTCCCCAAGAACCCCATCCTTGGCAGCCAGTAATCTTTCTCCCTCTGTGAATGTGTCTATTTTATATATAAAATAAGTAAATAAGACTACATCTTTTTTGACCAGAGCTCTGCCAAGTAACCCATTCAGTATGTATTTGTTGTGGTTTGGAACTTGAGGTCACAGGTGACATTCTGTGGGCCTCCTTGTCTGTAGAGCCAGAATTTCTATTTCCCGTTTTCTTCTCAGTGATGCCCTGGGTCTGCTTGGCCATTTGCTCTGATGTCCTCAGGGAGCAGACGGCCCATTTCCCTGCTGCCTTTCCAGGACTGCCCTGTGGCTCAGAGCAGGCGACCTGCCCTGTGTGGTTTGGGCAGGATGCCCTGCTGTGGACGTGCCTGCCCTCGGCTCCCTGGCCTCTCCACCCATGACTCATGCAGTAACTGTGGCCGTTCTCTACTTGCTGTCTTGTCGCCCTCCACACACGCTGCGAACAGTGATGTTCTCATTCCTGCAGTAGCCTGCCTGCTCCTCAAAGACGGCTTTTCACGCTATGCTTTCATACACCGTATCCCCACTTCCAAGACGCCCTTTCCCCCGATCTCACTTCCTTGGCAAACTTATCCGTCAAGACCCAGTTCAAATATAACATCCTGCAGCCCACCTGAGACCGAGGCAGGGCTGGGAAGCCGCAGCTCTGGGGTCCTGCCAGCTCCGAGGAGAGGGTCCAGCCCAGCTGATCATGCCCAGTCCCTTCTTCCAAACTCACCCTTCCTCCCAGGGCTCAGCGTCAGTGAGCAGGGTTACCCTAGAGTGAGCCCCCCCACCCCGAGGCAGGAGGAGTGGACAGTCTCCCCTGCACCTGTGGGGGCTCTGAGCCCCTCCAGGTTCCTGCTGCCACCACACCTCCGTCACTGAGCTGCGCCCTGCTGAGCAGCCCTTCCCCTCTGTTCCCTTCCAGTTGATACCATTGCTGATCTTGTGGCCCCTGCAGCCCCCAGGCCCAGGCCTTTCAGTGTTTTGCAGAGTGAGATTCCTGGGCCCATTTCCTGAATTTCTAATCTGCCTTTGAAAAGAGCACGATGCTGGATCTGGGTTGGTCCCTCTGCTGGCCTTATAAACCCCAAAGTGATGGACATGCCATTTGGATTTTATTTATGTGAATGGAGGGTTTGGGCTGAGTGGCTGCATGCAGGCCAGGTTCAGTTCCATGAAAGATTTTCCTTTCTTACTGCTTTTGGCCCATCCTGATGAGTTTCACCCTGGGTTTACCTCTGGACTAGATGGCATCATTTCCTATTTCACCTCCCTCCCCTGCACTGCCCCTCAGATTCATCTAAGCCTCAGGTATTTTAAAAGCCTGAGAGTTTCTGGCCAAGACTCTTCTGACAGTCTTTGTTGCCTGCTCTTGCCTCTTCTCTTGGGAGTAGTTCTGTGCCTTTTTCAGCAATCTTCTGGGCCTCTCCTCTCAACAGTACTTATAAGAAGGACACATCCAGCACAGATAAAAGACAGCCACTCTGTTCTCCTTACTCTCCTTGGACTCATCCACCACTTCTCACCCCTCCGCTGGAGGAAAGATGTAACATTATCAACTACATTCACAGCAGTAATTTCTCTCATAAAAACAAAGTGGTTTGTCACCCTCTCCCCACAGTCTCTGGCCAAATAACCCTCCACTGAAAATTTCCACCACCGGCTTTTGTAGGAAGTCACATCCCTCTGGGCAGAGATTTTAGGGTTCATCTTTGTTGTTTTATGTTAAGAGTTTTAAATGGATGTATTAAGTTTTTATAGCAATTGCATTTTTAAACTGAGGTCTTCATCATCAACTCTCTTCTTTGGGTAGTGGATGTCAAAGTGGACAGTCGTCCGCATTTCGGCTCTAGGGGGGATGGGAATGTGATGGTGGCTTCTTGTCCCCAAGGAGGAGGCTCCTCTGTCCTGACCCCTCACCCCTCTCCCACCCCCACTGCTTCCCCGGTGGAATAAAGAGGATGAGGAAGGAGACGTCGAGCCGTTCCTTTGTTTTTAGTGCTTTTGTCCTTGGGGACAACCCCCTCCTTGCCTGTCCTTAGTGGAGTGACCGGCCAGGTGATGAGCGCAGGTGTCTCGTCCGCTCACAGGGACACAGAGATCGATGACCTGAAGACGCAGCTGTCGCGCATGCAGGAGGACTGGATTGAAGAGGAGTGTCACCGCGTGGAGGCCCAGCTGGCCCTGAAGGAGGCCCGCAAGGAGATCAAGCAGCTCAAGCAGGTCATCGACACCGTCAAGAATAACCTGATCGACAAGGACAAGGGGCTGCAGAAGTACTTTGTGGACATCAACATCCAGAACAAGAAGCTGGAGACGCTATTGCACAGCATGGAAGTGGCCCAGAACGGCTTGGCCAAGGAGGACGGCGCGGCCGAGTCGGCCGGTGGCTCCCCGGCCCGCTCTCTCACCCGCAGCTCCACCTACACCAAGCTGAGTGACCCCGCTGTCTGCGGCGACCGCCCGCCCGGGGACCACCCTGGCACCTCGGCCGAGGATGGGGTCGACAGCGGCTTCGCGGCCAACGATGACACCCTGAGCCGGACGGAGGCGTTGGAGGCCAGCAGCCTGCTGTCGTCAGGGGTGGACTGCGGCCCCGAGGAGCCCTCATCTCTACACAGCTCCTTCAGCCTGGGGCCCCGCTTCCCCGCCAGCAACACCTACGAGAAGCTGCTGTGTGGCACGGAGGCCGGCGTGCAGGCCAGCTGCATGCAGGAGCGTGCCATCCAGACGGACTTCATGCCATCCCAGCCTGACCTGGATACCATCCTGGAGAAAGTGACCCAGGCCCAGGTCTGCGGGATGGTCCCCGAGTCAGGGGACAGGCGCCCAGAGCTGGATCCCCACCCCCCGGGGCCCAGAGACCCCAACTCTGCAGTGGTGGTGACGGTGGGGGACGAGCTGGAGGCCCCAGAGCCCATCATCTGGGGGCCCACCCCACATCACCCTGGTGCCCACCCAAACCCCAGCCCGTCGGTGAGCGTGGCGTGCCCCGTGGAAGAGGAGGAGGAGGCAGCCACGGCCGAGAAGGAGCCCAAGAGCTACTGGAGCCGCCACTATATCGTGGATCTGCTGGCCGTGGTGGTGCCCGCCGTGCCCACGGTGGCCTGGCTCTGCCGCTCCCAGCGGCGCCAGGGCCAGCCCATTTACAACATCAGCTCGCTGCTGCGGGGCTGCTGCACCGTGGCCTTGCACTCCATCCGCAGGATCAGCTGTCGCTCGCTGAGCCATCAGGGCCCGAGCGCCGCTGGCACGACCGCCGGAGGCAGCTCCCAGCTCTGAGGAGGGCCAGCCCGAGCAGGGGCTCCCACGGCCCAACTACCGATCATAGGGGTGCCGCCCTCCCTCTCACACCTTCCCCTGGGGCATCATCTTATTTCTTTAGTTTGGGGTTTGGAGGTGGCTTTTTTAGGATGATAACCGTGTCAGAGGCTGGGAGTGAAGGTTGGGGGAAGGTGTCCAAAAACTGCAACAGGAGAGAAGGGAAGAGAGATCACCGGCCAGGAGGCCTGCTGATCAGACACACTGCAGAGAGAGAAAATGGCGAGGCCCCCACCCCAGCCCCCCTGCCCACCCAGCCCCCCACACAGGGCAGTCGCTGCTCAGGAAGTCTCCCGTGTGATGATCTGGGGAGGCCAGCCTTGACTTGTCAGCCCGGCCTCCCCATCCCCCGCCCCCAGGTCCTGTCTGTTTCCCTGAGTACCCCAGGCCTTGTCTCCCAAGCCACCCCTTGCCCTCAGCCCAGGCTTCTGGGCCAGTATTATCTCCTCAGATGGAGGCAGCTGTGACCCAAAGTACAGGCAGGGGACTGGGATTCGGAACAGGTCTGGAACCACTCAGCGTGTGCTGAGCTCCAGCCTCTTCAGACTGCTCCCCACTTGGGATTTGGGAGCGCAGTCAGGCCATGGGCTGGAGGAAAGATGGTGATGGGCAAGAGGTGGCAGAAGGCAGTGTGGGTCCCCTGTCTGTCTGTTCATCTCAGATCTTCCCCACCTCACTTTTCCTCCTGGCGTTTCTGAGGGTGTCAGGTCATTCTTCTGTGAAAGTCAGACTGGCCTGAGCCCCACCTCCCATCTGGAGACTCTGTCAGCACAAGAGGAGATGGGCTGGCAGCTCAAGGGGCTCCTCCAGTCTCTGAGACAAGGCCCTACAGCCTGGGAGGCGGAGCTGGGCTCAGGAACCCCAGCTGGTTTGACTCCAGCCCCTGGAGCTTACCTGAGTTTCTCCGGGGACCTTAGGACCAACTTCATCTTTGCACTATGTTCATTTTGGGGCTTGGTTCTCATGCACCCCAGGATCTCCCGTGAGGTGGCTGCTTGCTTTCTAGGATGAGGGTTCCTAAGTCTTACACCTATCTGCCTCTGGAGGAATATCCAGCAGGATGAATGGCAAGATGAGGTGCTGCAGCCGTGATGTCCGTCCAGGCCAAAGCAGAGTGCCCTGGAATGTCTCCTAGGTGGGAGTGGGGTAGGGCTCCCAGCCCAAGCCCAGTCAACCTGGGAAGGTTCACTGGCCCCCCCTCCTCTCCTGGGCCCATGTCTGGGTCCCCAGCAAAGCTGCTGACACTTTATTAACATTCTTATTTTACAGAGTAAACCCATTCCTCTTCCCCTTCAGGGCGTATACCTGTCTGCTCACCCCACCTGCTCTTCAGAGTTACGCCCTACATTGGAGCAGGGATGAGGAGCATTGGTGGGACCCTGTGTCTTATCCACCCCTCTGGCCTGGGGGGCACTCTGGTTCCGTCAAGGTTGCTTGCCCACCCCCGCTGTTTCAGCAGCTGTCACCTGACTCGTGGACTCTGCCCTTCCTCTCTGTGCCCTCCGCTGGTGCGGGGGACGCCTGCATGCCCTCTGGGGGCCAGCCAGCCTCACCCCCAGGTCGGGGGGAGCCCCTCAGCCACGTGCTTCGTGCCTCCAAAGCCCCCCGTCCTCACTCCAGGCCTCAGACCTGCCATCCTTTGTGGAGCTCCCCCTGATCCCAGCCAAGCCAAACCTGAACTCTGGGGGCAGGGCTGGGCTGCCCCATAGGACCCTGGGGTCATGATGCAGAGGGGCAGTGGACAACCCCAGTCCAAAGCCAAGCCAAGACTGGCCGTGGACCCCACCTCATGCCCTGTACTCACGGAGCCGCGCAGTGTCTCCTTAGAAATAGTCAAAAGCTTTGCCGAGAAAATAAAGGTATGACTATATTTGACAACATAAAATCTATATATTTTTCAGCCCTGGAATCTAGTCGAGCTGCATAGCCCCTCTGCTCCTGTCTGCGTCTTGCTGTCTGTGGCCTTCCTACTGTGTCTTGTGTTTTGGTGGACGTGGTCAGGGCCGGGGCCATGCTCCACGCTGTCCCTAATTCTGAACACGCCCCTCAGGAAGAGTGTGGATCAGGTCTGTGGACAAGGGGAGAGGACCTGGTGCCACCCTCTACTCTTGCTCTGGCTGAGACCTGCCTGCCTGGTCAGAGGGGCCCCAGCCCACTCCGGGTCCTCTCTTTTGTGGGGTCTGGTGGGACCTTCGACAGGCTTTGTCTCTTGTCAATGGAGGAGGCGAACCTTCGGCCCAGGCCCGGGACAGGTGTGCGTGTGTGTGTGTGTTCAGGATCCCGCATCTATGCAAAAGGGGCAGAGCTGCCTGGGCGACTCCGGCAGTGAGAGGCAGTGGCCCGCCAGCTCAGGCTCCAAGCCCAGACTGCAGGGCCCAGAATGTGGGGCTGGAGGCAAGGCCAGGGCCCCGGAGCCTCCCGCTGAGTGCTCATCCTCCAAGGCTCCCCTTTTCCTTCTTGCTTAATACCTCCTCCTGTTGGGCTGTGACCTTCTCTCCTGCCCTCCGCTTCTAGAGCAGAGATCTCTGGGGTCTCCCCTCTCCCCAGCCTCTGGCTGGAGCTGATTAGATCCTGAGCAACACTGTTCTCAGGAATCACCTTCTGGAACTGCTGGTCCTTTGGAGCCCCTCTGCCAGAAGTGGCTTCCCCTCAGTTGTGGGGTCCAGGCCAGAGTTGGCCCTGCTGCTCCTCTGGTCCAGACTCAAGCAGGAATCAGAGTCAGGGGCAGAACTCTGCTCAGAGAGCTGGCGTCAAGTGAAGTTTATTCCAAATATCTCCCAAGGGGGTAACTTAGCTTTTCAATGAACACCATTCCCAGCTGCCAGTAGCACCGGGGTACCTGGCAGCACCTTGGGTGGGGGTGGGGGGCGGCACAGGAGGCAAGTGACAAGGTTCTGGGGTAAAGGCCTACGGAGGGGCCTCTGCCTAGTGAACTCATGACCCCTCTGTGACCTAGGGGTCAGTACAAACAACTCATAGTGCACTGTTATATTCAGCCATGCCCTTGACAGCGAATTCAGGGGACACAGGAAGGGGGTGGGAGGTGGGGAGGGGTCTTCACTTTTGTCTCCTTTGTCCTTTTGATCTGACAGAGTTGTACCTACAGCAGAACAGCTCTGAATTAAAGCATGAAAACACAACCAGATCCATCACCTGTTTTCTTTATATTGTGTCTTTGGGGGCAGTGAGGGGGATGAAGGGGGCTCACGCTGTCTCCACCTGCATGGAAGTCAAAACTCACACCCTGGAAAGAGCTGAGTGGGCAGAGATCTTTCCTGAGGTAGAGGGAACCTGAGTGCTGCAAGCTGGCTCAGCTCTACCATGTGTCTGACCCCTCCTGGGGGTCACTTGGCACCCCTCCTGGGGGTCACTTGGCACCCCCCTGGGTGTCAGCCCCATTGGGCCCTGAGAGTGCACCCATTTCATCCTCTCCAGCACCCCTGAAGTGATTCTCACACCTACAGATGCAGAAGCCAGCTGGAGTCACTGAGCAGGGGTGTGCTCTAAAGCCAGTGCCCCCTTCCAGAGCCCACACTATCCCCACCACCCCCCACCACAACCCAGTCATCCCTGCTTCACACCGACAGGCGGCATATGATGGCGGCAAGTCATGTTCTCAGAGGCAACGCATAGAAAAGGGATCGGTCTCACCACTGCTTAAAAGACAACCAACACTGGTGCATCATGGGACTGAGGATTCTGGAATTTCAATTACTTTTGAGGAAAGGATTTTACTTAAAATCAAATCTTTATTCAAAAGATAGTGAAGGGTTATAACTCTATACAGTTTGTGACAAAGAACAAGTAAAGGAAAAAGAAACAATTCTTACCAAAAAAAAAAAATGTATCTGTATTCTCAAAACACAGAACTGTTTTACTGGTAGAGGCAAAAATTTGAAAGGGACCCAGTTGCAACTTTAGGAAGTGTTTAGCCGGCCTGCCGACGTGCGGAGCATTTAAATCAGCCCAGAGAATGGCTGCCTGTGGGCCCTGTCCCAGCCTTAGCCCAGTTGAGTGGCTGAGACTCCAACAGGGCCAGTGTATGTAAATGACAGGCGCACAGGATGCCATGTCGCCCCGCCCTGAACCCGCCCCCTTGAGAACACCCCGCCCCCTTGAGACGGCCCCGCCCCCAGGCAGCGCGCCTCTGCAGGCAGGAACATTCCCTTTCCGGAAGGAGGCTGACAGGGCTGAGCTGCTGTCCCGTGGCCTCAGACGTCAGGGATGGAGTGGTCCATGGTGTGGTGGAGCAGGGTCGGGGACAACCTAGATACAGTAACAACGACAGTCGCCAAAACTGTAGCACCTTCTCCCCCTGCCCCCCAAAACCTGTGCCTCCCTTGCCTCACCCCAAGTTACCAGAAGCCCCTGGCTCCCGTGAAGGGAGCGAGGGGAGGAGAGCGGAGGCTCTGCAGAAGAGGAGAGGAAGCCGGTGGCCAGGAGGTGGGGAGGTGAGGGGGGCGGGGAGACGGGGGAGGGGGGAGGTACGGAGGGAAGTGACGGGGGCGTCGAGAGTGGGGCAGCCTTACTTTTTGACCATGTGCTCGTAGATGACAGTGGGGATGATGGTCAGGGTGATGACGTTCCCGGCGGTGGCCAGAATCTCTGTGACTTCTTTGTCCTGGAGAAGAGGTGAGTGAGCAGTCACCTTGGGGACCAGGGGCAACTCTGAGGCACCTCTGTGAAGTGGTCAGCATGGCCCTGCTGGAGTCCACCACTGACAATGACGGTAGGGAATAGGCTGCCCCTTCAGTGAGGGTGGCAGGCCCCCAGCTCAAGCAAGAATGTGGGCCTCCCATCTGAGGCTCTCTCAGTAAAATGGACTCATCTCTCCTACCCTCACCTTGAGGGCCTGTGTGGGCCTGACACCGAACGGCCTCACAGACATGACTTCCCCCAAAGAGCCCCGGGAATCCCACCAGGCACACGTGTGTGCAGTCTCCCAGGCCCCAGTGACACTGGGATTCTTACCCCAAAGCAGAAAGAGAACCACACTGCAGTTGGGAGACAAGGCGGGGGGCAGTAGGCACACCCGCCCACCCTCTTCTCTGGGCTCCTGTCAGCCTGAGCTGAGCCCTTGGTGTACCTCTTCCTCTTACATCTTGTTGACCGGTAAAAAGAAAGGCCTGCAGAAGCCATTCAGACCATCGGGAAAACAAGACACGAAAAGCACCTACATAGAGTATGCCACAAACACTAAGGCCACGAGACGAGCCTCTGGCCCTTACTCGGAAACCGCGACCTTTACTTTACACAGATCTCCGACCAGGCTGTGTGCTTTCCTAGATGTGCCAGGATCAACGGGAGAAGATGTGCTAGATGGGACTAGACCATCAGGCACAGGGGAGAAGATGTGTGACAAGAGTGACCTGGAGAAGGCCCTTATGAGGGAGGAGCAGTGGCTCACAAGACTGTCATCTGTGGGGTGAGATGGCATCCCCCCCAAGCCACCTCCACCTGCCTGTGAGCCCCAAAGCCCTGGATGCCCAAGGAGGGGGGACCCTCACTCTAAATCACAACAGGCATTAAGAACCACTCTCAGTCCTGGTGGCATCAGTCAGGATAAACCACTCTCACTTGTCCAAGAACCAGAAGCCATGTGACTCATCCTCCTCTGGGGTCTAGTCCCCGAAGGCACCCGCCCTGTCCCACCACCACCACTTGTCGTCACACCTCTGGCCTTCATGCGTAAGTAACAACAGCGAGAGTTTACTGAGCACTTAGTGTCTGCACCGTCCTCGGAGCTCTCGTACCTTTGTCTCATTGAATCCCTGCTGCAGCCTCAGGATGAGGACTGAAGCTGGGGTGAGGGCAGCAGCCACCCACAGACACGAACCTTCCCACCACCCCTCGATCTCCCAGCCCCTGAGTCCCTGGGATGGAGCCACGCTCCGCCTTGCTTACCTTCAGCCCTATGACGTTTTGCCCATTCACCTCGCACACATAGTGGTTGGTGAGGAGCCCATTACGGGCTGCAGAACTCCCTTTGACCAAAGAGATGATCTTCCCTTTCTTGATGACGAAGCCGACATGTCCTGTGCTGTCCTTGTGCATGGTGATGGTCCGCTGGAACGGCCTGGCAGGGAGGGACAGTGAGCTGGGCCTGGGGCATAACCAAGGGCAGACAGACAGGCTCCTGGGACCCGGGTGCTCACCTGTCCCGAACAACTATGATGATCTTCTCGGCCGATGCCTTCTTCACCACCTGGTGAGCTTTGTCCGTGCTCCACCCAGCACAGTCACGTCCATCAATCTGCAGAATCTGGTCCCCAAAGCGCAGCCCCACCAAGGACGCAGGGGTGTTGGCCTGGACCAGCTGCACGAAGAGCCCCTGGAGGAGGTGAGCCCCGCAGTCAGTTCCCCAGCCCACCTGAGCCCAGGTGCCTCCTCCTGGGCTGCTGCTTGCCTCTTGATCTTCTCAGAGTCTACTGGACCCTGGGGCTGTAACTCTGTACAGCAACATACAGGGTACCCCATTTTCCTGGTGAGGAAACAGGCCACACAGCTAGAAAGCAACAGAGTCAGGAATTCAGGAGTTTTCCCGGTAACTCAGATGATAAAGAATCTGCCTGCAATGCAGGAGACTCGGTCAACCCCTGGGTTGGGAAAATCTCCTGGAGAAAGGCATGGCGACCCACTCCAGTATTCTTGCCTAGACAATTTCATAGACAGAGGAGCCTGGCGGGCTACAGTACATGAGGTCGCAAAGAGTTGGACATGACTGAGCAACTAACACTTTCAGGAATTCCAACTAGTGGCTGCATCCCCAGTCACCAGACTACAAGGCCTCTCACACTGGCATCTAAGCCAACACCCCCACACCCCTCGCCTTCCACTGTCTGCAGAAAGCCTCCCAGAAGCCAGCTCCCTGTGAGTGAGGAGCAAGGAGGCATGAAGTCCCGGGAGGGGCAAGCGGAGGATCCCTGGCACAACCTAGAGCAAGCCCTAGTGCCTTATGGGAGGGGATGGAGAGGACGAGCCTGTCTAGGGCTCAGGTGGGCCTTGGCTCCCGCCCCGCGCAGCACCTTCCTGACTGTGATCCACCGTCTCCCGCTGGTGGACTATGTGGCCAGAACCCCGCAGGCACGCCGGGGAGCACGGGTAGCCTCGGCCGCGGGCGAGCTCTCCCTCTGCGTTCCGCGGGGCCCCTACCCTCCTCTCCCGCCCGACCCCAGCCCCACCTTGTCGATGGCCTGCAGCCGCAGCCCCGTCTTGCCACGCTCGTCCTTGCATAGGTGGATCTCTCGCACCCCAGGCTTGATCTCCGCACGCAGCGCGCCTAGGCTGTTCCCGGACACCGGCGCCACCGCCTGGCCCGGCGAGGGGCCCGAGACCGCTGCCTGCAGACCACAGGGGAGCAGAAGTCAGCCAGCGCCGTGGGGTCTCGTGCCTCAAGGGCCCAGGCGAAAAAAAAAAAGAAAAAGGCCCAGGCGTGGGAGCGGGGATTTGGAAAAGAGAACGGTGTGGACCCTGAGCCACAAGCCCACCGCAGACCACGCACTTCCCTCCTGCGGGCAAGAGGACACATGGCTCCATGAAGCCACTAGGGGGCGTCAAAGTCCTCACCCCCAAAAAACACAGCCCAGGAAAATAGAGACGGGAGGACAGGTGTGTATTATAGAAAAAGGGTCCTCATTTTCCAAGACAACTTGGTGTCAGAAGAACCTTTTAAAATCCACTTAAAAATAAAAAGATTCACAGAAAATAGTGAACAATGAGGGGGTAAAGGAGCTCAAGTTTATTTCTGCTTGAAAAAAAATTATGTCAAAAGTATCAAGATGAGTGAATACTAACCCACCCCCAAAAGATCTGGAACAAGGCAAAGATGTCCACTCCCACCACTACTGTTAAATACAGTAATGGAAGAACTAGCCAGATCAATAGACCAGAAAAGAAAACATAAAATGGTCCCTATTTTCAGATGAGATGATGCTATACTAGAAAAGTGCAAAGAATCTCCAGATAAACTCCTAGAACTCATAATTGAATTCAACAAGGTCACAGGACACAAGACCAATGCACACCAAAAAAATCAATTGTACTTCTATATACTAACAATGAATACATGGAAACTGAAATCAAAAATACAATACCACTTACAATCGCTCAAAAAAAAAAAAAAGAAATACTTAGGTGTGGAGCTAATAAAACATATACAGGAATTGTATGCTGGAAATGACAAAACACTCATAAAAGAGATCAAAGAAGTGAAGTGAAATGAAAGTCGCTCAGTCGTGTCCGACTATTTGCGACCCCATGGAATACACAGTCCATGGAATTCTCATCACATCATCATATGATATTTCTACCTTTAGATAAAACAAACTGAAATAACCTCAGTAGGATATAGTAGAAAATAGTGAAGTTATTAAAAAGAGAAATTTTGAGTACTCATTACTGTTGTTTTTAATGTATTGTGAGTTTGAAAGTGAAAGTGAAAGTCGCTCAGCCAGCCATGTCCGACTCCTTGAGACCCCATGGACGAATTCTCTAGGCCAGAATACTGGAGTGAGTAGCCTTTCCCTTCTCCAGGGGATCTTCCCAACCCAGGGATTGATCCCAGGTCTCCCGCATTGCAGGCAGATTCCTTACCAGCTGAGCCACAAGGGAAGCCCCCAAATCCTGGAGTGGGTAGCCTATCCCTTTTCCAGTGGATCTTCCTGACCCAGCAATCAACCCAGGGTCTCCTGCATTGCAGGTGGATTCTTTACCAACTGAGCTATCAGGGAAGCCTGATCAAGGGTCTAAATAAACAAAGAGATATTTTGTATTGATGGATCAGAAAAACTAGGTGAAGATGTCAACTGTCTACAAGTTGATGTACATAGTTAATACATTTCCTATCACAGTCTCTATGTTTTATAGATACAGGCAACGTTAATCTAAACTTTACATTGAGAACACAAAGGAACTAGAATAGCTAAAACTATTCTGACAAAAAGAAAAAAAAACAGGAGAAATCACTCTGCCAAATTTCCAGACTTTCTATATAGCTACAGTAATCAAGATAGGGTGATGTTAGGGAGAGACAGACCTTTGGAGCAGAAGAGAGAATATCCAGAAATAGCCTCACACAAGTAGGGGCAACCGCTTCTTAACGGAAGTGTGAGAACAATTCAGTAGAGACAGAAGAGTCTTTTCAACAAATGGCCTGGGAACAACTGAACATCCATAGGCAAAATATGAATCGTGACCTTATGCCTTATGCAAAGATTAACTCAAGTTCAATCATAAATTTAAACAAAAACTATAAGAGTTTTAGAAGTAAAAGGGAAATTTTTTCAGAACCTAGAGCTCAGTGAAGTTTCTTAGGATACCAAGGCATGATCCACAAAGAAAAAAAATCAATAAATTGGACCTTATCAAAATTGAAAACTTTTTGTTCTGCAATAAACTCTTTTAATACAATGAAAGGAGAAGTTACACAGTGGGAGAAAATATTTACAAATCAAATGACAAAGGACATTAGAATAAGGGCTCAAAAGTTGACTTTAAAAAAAATCCATTTAGAAAATGAGCAAAATATGTGAATAAACATTTTGTCATAAAGAATATACAGCTGGTAAATAAGCACATGAAAAGATGTTCAACATCACTAGCCATTAGGAAAGTGCAAATGAAAACCACGATAAGGCGTCGCTACACACTCACATGAGAAAAATTTAAAATAGTGATAATATCAAATGCTGGCAAGGATGTGCCAACAAAACACTCAAGCATTGTTGGCAGGAAAATAAAATAATACAGCCGCTCTGAAAATTGTTTGGCAGTTTCTTTCTAAGAAAATTAGCCATACAAGTATTACACCACTTAGGAACTGCACTCCTGGGCGTTTATCCCAGAGAAACAAAAACTTATGTCTGTACAAAAATCTGTACACAAACATCTGTAATATCTTAGTTTATAATAGACAAAACCTGGAAACAACCAAAATGTCCCTCAAGAGGTTAAACAAACTGAGCTATAGCTACCCCATGGAACGCAATCCTGCAATAAAAAGGAATGAACTGTTGGAAGAGGCAACAGCCTGGAAGGATCTCCAGGGCACGATGCTGAGCGGAAAGAGCCCATCTGAAAAGGTCAAACACCATGTGATTTCACTTACATAACCTTCTGAAATGATCAAATTATAGGGACAAAAACACACTAGTGATTGCCATGGGGCTGAGGATGCTGAAGGGGAGGCTGGGCATGATTATAAAGGGGCAGCACAAGACAGATTTTGTGGTGATGATGTAGTGCTAGATCTTGAATGTGCTGGTGGCTGCAGGTGATAAAAGGACACAGAACCTTAGACACACATTGTACCAATGTAAAATGCCTGGTTTTGACATTATAGTATAGTTACATAAAATGGAACCATTGGGGAAACTGGGTGAAGAGTACAAAGGACTTCTCTGTCTTGGCAACTTCCTGATTGAATCTCGGATTACTTAAAAACTTAAACTAAAAATAATTAAAAATTTTAATTACGAAAGTGCACTATCTGTCATATTTAATTTTTTTATCAAATGTAGGTTGTCTAGGGTATTGACCAAAGAGAGATCAATCAATGGATTAAAACTGGACAATGTGACCTACTTTGCTTCCTGCGTGTGCTTCCCTACGTGACTGTCAAGGGTGTCATTTTGGAGAAACACTCCAGAGTGTCACCAGCTTTGCTCAGAATCCCACATGTCCTCATCCTTGTTGATTTCTCCTGTAAAATCCTCATTTGTCAGTGTGGCAGCTCTCATCATCACTTCTATCAATCTCGTGAAATCCCGCAGCTTTACCAAGATTTGTATTTGCACTTTGCAATCGATTTGCACTGGACCAGCACAGTGGACCAACCAGGAATGTTGAAGCTGATGGGGAGACAGTTTGGGACTGATTCTATAAGTGAATACATTTTCAGGAGTGAATATTTCTATGTTACGATTTTTTTTTTCTCCCTGAAGCCATAGAGAACAAGAATCAAGGATTATTATTTCATTTGGGGACTGGGGGCTGACAAGCTTCTCCTCACAGGCTCTGCCTAACTATGCAGCTGCTTGCAAGTCACAGGCAGCCCCTCATTAGAAGCACCCGGGCTCAGGCCAGGTTTAATGTCCTCCCTTCTCATCCAGCAGGCTCAGATCAGCAGGTCAGAGGTCAAAGGGCAGGCAGTGGCCCTCTAGCCCCAAGGCCTGCAGGAAACCATGAAATCCTACAGCACTTCTCATGAAAGTTCAAAATGAAAGGTGTCATCAAGAAACAGAGCCTCAAGGATGCTAGAGAGAGAGGAGATTCAAGTCTGTTTAAATGGCAAGACCAAGGAAGGAGGGCCCGCATCAGGCAAGAGACAAATACCTACACTGGCACCTTCTGGAGTCTGAGGCAGGCTCTGCTGGACTTCTTGGCTGGAGAGGGAAAGACCCATATAGTTTTCCAATTCTGCCAGGTTAGGGTACAAAACTGATGGGAAGGGAAGGGGGAGAAAAGAAACATGTTACTCTGGCCATGAGCTTAGCCACACCTGCCTGGTCCCAAGGGGTCATGCATCTTTGTTAAGAAATAAAAGGGCTCGTGATGCTGTTTACTCCCAAGAATGCAGTATATTCTTGAGATTGCTCTGCAGCCCTGGGGACACTCGCTAGCAACGTGGGTCCTCCCTTCAGGTGGTCTGCTTTCCCCAGGACCAGCCTGGGACACAGAGTCCCTCACGGATCACTTTGGTGTTCAGTTCAGCTGACTTTATTTGGCACCAGCCGACCCAAAGGCAGCTCTGGGAAACTGCACGGTGAGGAGGAGAGGAGCTGGGCCTGGGCTCAAGTTTGCTACCGCAGGACCAGAGTCAAGATGGCCAGAGCAGCTCCAAGGCCACTGCATACATCCTGGTCTCCTTGGTGGCCCTAAGTCAGGGCTATCGGAGCCCTCACAAGGTCACAGCTTTTCAGTGTCCCCCTCAAAGTAGAGGGGACAACTGTACACAGTGCCCATGGTTCGGTGGCAGGCAAGAGGCAGGCTCTCGGAAATGGCCAGCAGAAGTCACTCTCGGCAGGAAGCACCCCATCCGCATCACTCACCTGGAGGCTGGGAGTCCCCTTTTCCCCGTGCTGGCAGGGCGGGCATCCTGGCTACGGCTCTGGCCTGGGCCTGGGGATGGAAGGGGAGTGCCGGTCAGCTGTGGTCAGAACCCCAGAGCCCTTGGAGCTAGGGGCTCCCTGACTCTGGGGGTCAGGGCAATAGTTATGCTCGTGGCCTGAGCGGGTATCCAACCCTTCAATAAATGTGGCTTTGCACACCTCCATGCCTCAGGAGGGAGGTTCTCCCAATGGCCCGCAACCCACGGAATGTCACAACTCATTTACTACCTGAGGCGGCCAAGGTAATTGTCAGTCAAAAAGCCCCCAGTTCTCAAAACCCACTAAGACCTCGTGCAGGATGGAAGGAGGAAAGGGCTTCTGGGGGCTGAGGAGGCCAAACACCACGGCCACGGAGTTTACCCTGGAAGCTTGCCCTAGAGCATGGGGTCTGCATGAACCCAGAGGGAGGAAGCGCTGGGACCGAGCAAGCACCAGACACAGGCCTGCCTGCAGCTGCTCGTCTCCTCCACCTGCTGTGGTCCCACTGCCTCGGCCTCTGGACTCCTGCTCTGCCCAGCAGGCCCTGCCCTGGGGACTGGCGTGCCTTGGGGCCAATAAGGAACTCCCAGGGGCCTCCAACTTTGATCCAAGACAGGCCTCCCTTAGCCATCCCGGGGTAAGCCTGGAGCCCCATCAGGGGACCCAGGCTAACAGCCTGAAAGGTTACCTGCATGGCTTGGTCCACCTTCAGGTCCTCCAGAGATGGGTACAGTGTGGCCATGGCTGCTCTTTGCAACACCCTGCAGGGCACAGAGCAGGGTGCTGAGGGTGAGAGGAGGCAGAGACAGTGCCACTCAGCACTCTCAGGATGAGAAAGATGTCAGGAAGGGTATTATTAGTAGTATACTATTACATTATTATACACAATACATATGATATATCATATATATTATATAATATCATATATTGTTATATATTATATAATATCTATTCTATTGTTATATATATTATACAATAATATTTTATTATATTATACCACTTATATAATAGGTATTATTATCCCCATTTTAGAGATGGAGTATCTGGGATTGAGCCAGAGTCTGGTTCCCAAGCCCATGTTCTCCACTCCTGCAAAATCCCATCCCACCATGTTCAGCCGACTCTGGGCTTTAGAACCTGGGCCCAGGGGTCACCCAGGACATGCTGACCAGGTAAAGCAGGACTGGGGGGCCACATCCTTCCCTGCTGTTTCAAAGGTCACACAGCCTTACAAGATCTTATCACTCAAGACCTAAATCCAGTCCAGTTGGTGCACAGTGAGCACCTGCTGTATACCCGGCCCGCATTAGGGGTTTGTGCAGCATCCTCCCACAACTACTCGGGGTTCAGTCCAGTGTCAAGTGGGTGGGGACTTCATATTACAACAGAAAGGCAGCAGGCACTTCAGAATTCCTCCCCTGCCCCCCTACACCCCTCTCCATCTCTGGGCATTTGAGCCCCTACTGCCATTTCTGGCTTCACTGGCGAGTATTGATCTTGATCATGATGAAGTCCAATGGAAACTCATAAAAACATGCACACAAACTGTAACAGAGTTTATATGCTCAGCAGAATGTTGTTCAGAGGGCTAAAGAAATGATGGGGGACCATAAATATTTACTAAAAACCTTCTTACCTGTCGGGGAGAGAACCAGCAGGATCTTGGAGCAAGGTACCCAAAGAAATGGAAAGAAATTACCCACAGAAAAGCTTTATTTCCACCCTAGATGAAATGTGAGCAAGGAACGGTTTGTGTTTCTGGATTCTTCTCCATTTACCCACTAACACACTGGCTCCATCACATCTCCCAGCCTTTGCTCGGCCAGTCCTCGCCAGCTGGAAGCCCCCACGCCACCCTCCCGCCCTGGCTTCTCAAACAGTGAGGTCACCACTGCTCCCACCCAGGGCCCTGCCCTCAGCAGAGACTTCGGACCAGCCTCCCATCCTGGACTCTTCAGTTGTCCTGTCTGTCTTCCCACCTGAACTGCAGTTCCTGGGGATCCAGGGGGCTCTACTGACTCTACTGGGCCCACACTCATGGACCAGGTCCAGAATCTCTGGGCATCTTCCCTGAGTGATGCCCAGGGGTCAAGGTCATCTCCCTCCATCACTCTTCCTTGCCCTTTCTCTGCACCTGCTGCCTTAACACACATCAACTTTAAGCCTCCCCAGTGACCCCGTACACACACCGTCCGTTCTAGTCTGCCTATCCACCCCATCTCCCCAATATCCCATCCCTAATCCTCATGCTATCCTCCTCCGTCTCCCCGTCCATCCCCACACTGTCCTCCTCCATCTCCGCGCTCTCCTGCAGGAACCGCAACATCTACAATGAGTCAATTCGACTGCTGTTCTCCAGCCAAAAGGTCCTTTCTGTGTGAGTCTGGAACGCCATGGCCCTGCTTAAAGTCCACCCCCCGCCCAGTGGCTCCCCACTTTCAGAATCCAGTCCACATGCCCTTTACGATTCCTCCAGAGATTGGAACCAGTGGCTTACAGGCCAGATGCAGACAGATGTTGTTTGACCTTGCCAAGGACTTTATACATTCAAAATTAGCAGCCTAAATGTCTAGAACTCTAGACACTGCATTTAATAATCCAGCTTCACACTGCTCCTGAAAAACAGGACACTCTAGCAACCCTGGACCAGTGCTGAGTGGCTGCATCTGAGTCGTAGCCGACTCCCGGGCACCCCAGACCCTCTCAGCCTCTGTTGTCTCTTACATCAAGACCGATTTACTCATTGGCCCTGAGTCCCAATAGACATTTGCTTGCACCCCTGCCTAATTCCCGCTTTCTTTCTTTCCACATGTCTTTCTCCCAACCCCCACCCTCAGCTTCAGCCACAATGAGCTACTTTTAGACCCTTGAATTAATTGAACTTTCTCATGTCCCCAGGCCTCTGCATGTATTATTATGCCCTCTATCTGGCATACTTTTCTACTCCCTCTGCTCCCCACCTGGCTAACTTCCAATTATTTTCAAGTTCCATATCAGAGGGCTCTTCAGGAAACTTGCCTTGATGTGTGCTCCCCCTGCCCACACACCCACCTCCTCTCCCAGCTCATGTTCTTAGTCTGTTGATCATTCACTGCTCCGAAGTTGCCTCTTGATCTACCTATTGGGAGTTCCAAATGGGCAGAAACTGGACCTTCTAATTTATTGTGGAGGCCCTAGCCCCTAGTGTGGACATCAACTCAATATTTCCAGAAGCAATGCATTCTGCCTGGGCTTCCACATTTCTCCTTGTAAACTAAAGCACTAATGTCCTGTGGATGTGCACCTTCCTAGGATGGAAACCAGGATGTGAGGTCCCAAACAGGTTTGGTTTGCCTGTCACAGGCTTGTTTTTTCTGTTTTCGTTTGAATTAGTGTCAACATTTTAAAGTCTGGAAATATAAAATTCTCCACTTCTATCTTGTATGGGAAGAAAAAAAAAAAACTTGGCAATGCAAGAGCAGGAATCATACACAAGCAACACTCAGCCAGGCCGGAGTCACAGCCTGCCCTTAGATGAGGTTGCACACACCTCTTGTTTCCCAAAGTACCCATCCAGCTGGCTCACACTGCCTGCTTGGTTCCTGGGGACAGACAGTTGCAGATCGTTGCCCTCACCTAGTATTTGGGGCAGAAATGATCATCTTAAGGAGAAAGGGATGGTCCAATGGGGAGAGGGAGACTGGCTCTGACCTGCTTTAAACCAGCTGGGGGGAGAGGCCCCTTTGCCTTGGTCTTCCCTTCTGTGCACACACTCCAGGAGACTTGGATCTTGGGACAGTCCTCAGAAGGTACCACCCATCAAAAACACACCCTGGATCACACATGAGCTACAGATGTGAAAAGAGGAGGCATCCCTGCCCTGATTTTTCAAACACTGAAGTAGCAGAGCTTTTATATCTGTAGCAGCTACCATCTGGGCAAGCAGAATCTGAGATCCACTTCCTGGAGATCCTTTCTAGGCTGGGATCACACAACCCGTCCTCTGGGTCTGGGACACTTTCACCACTGCCACCTTCTCTGGGTCTCAACCAACGTTAGGGATCTGGGTAGAATCAAGAGGCAGGTGTTTCCCTGCCTTTTAGCAGTTCACAATATAGTGGGGAATGTCTCCCTGCCAGGAAATATGCATATCTCATTCAATTATCCATCTACTCACTCACACTATTTGAGTGTCCAGTGTGTGCCAGCAATCTTGGACCTGTTGGTTACACAGATCCCTCTGCTTGGCACACCACCCTTCTCTGCATCGCACTCTTTCAAGACTCAGCTCTAATGCAATTTCTCTGCTTGGCTTTTTCAGGCCATGGGACTCCTGGCTAGTTGGCTAGGTCTTCTGTGTTCCCAAACTGACTGGTACCGCGTCTACTGTCAAGTTATTTATCATATTATACAATTACTATCTGGGTATCCCCTCATTCTGAACTTCAACTCAGAATGCCAGGGACTGTGTCCTGTTCATCACCCTATGCCTCCCCGCTGAAACAGCACCCAGCACACAGATGCTGACAAAAATTGCTATTTGACTGAATAGACAAGTGGTTTTCCAAGAAACAGACTGGAAATTTGCGTGGGCCTTCTTGGATGTCACAAGACTGAGAGGACACTACTAGCGTTTAGGAAGCAGGGAGTAGTGACCAGGACCTTTTGTAATGCACAGAACAGTTCATCACAACAAACTGCCCCGCACAAGTTTCCAATATCCCATCAAACCTTCATGGAAGCAACAAAAAAACCTGTGTATAACCTGTTTTATATACAAATACAATGAAACTTTCCCTGGTTTTATTTTTATTTTTTTAGTTCTACCACTTTATTCCTACCAACCCATCTCCCTCCACCCTCGTGCACACATGCTCAGTCATGTAAACCCATGGACTGCAGCCCGCCAGACTCCTCTGTCCATGGACTTTTCCAGGCAAGAATACTGGAGTGGGTTGCCATTTACTTCTCCTCCTGGTTTTAATATACAATATATCATCCAGAAATATATACACCAGCTTATCTGAGGAAGTTATTCTTGGTTTGGTTCACCATTTTGAAAAATCATTGTCAATTCTCCACAACATGGGTAGGTCACCAGAACACACTCGTGTGTGTCTGCATTTGTAGCTGCCACAGTCACTCCATGCCTGTATACAAATACATTTAAGCTTTGACTCAAGATGCCAAATATAAAATTTGGCAAAATTCAGCTGAATACTATCTATTAAATCCAAGGTGGCCCTAGAGGCAAAGAATCCCGCCTACAAGCAGACGATCCTGGTTGGATCCTTGGGTCGGGAATATCTCCTGGGGAGGAACTGTCAGCCCACTCCAGTATTCTTGCTGGGGGAATCCCATGGACAGAAGAGCCTAACAGGCTACAGTCCATGGGGTCCCAGAGAAGGACACGACTGAGCATCTGAGCACACAAATCCAAACTTCCTCATTTTAAGTTAAGTACAAGCGTCATCCGGTGTAACCCAGTCTGAGCTTTTACATAGTGAAGTGCATATTCTTTTTAATTATAAACTACTTTCATTGCCCTCATTTCTTCTTTACAGTGCAGACAGGGCAACATGCTGTTTTAGGGTTTTCTTTCAACTTGTTGCTGTTCAGTCGCTCAGTTACATCCGACTCTTTGCAACTCCATGGACTGTAGTGTAGGGCTTCCCAGGTGGCGCTAGTGGTAAAGAACCTGCTTGCCAATTCAGGAGGCGTGAGAGACAGGGGTTCAATCCCTGGGTCAGGAAGACCCACTGA